ACACCATAATTATCCATCCCACAAAATCTTTACTATTTAAAAAAAAACACTAAACTAATTGAGTTTCTTTTGTCTAGATTTTCAGATAAGACATTTTGCCATCTTGACACCATTTGTCGTAAGTATCACTGAAGAACCCTTTTAGTTATTCAGCTTGAAAGAGAACAGGTAAAAATCATTTTGTGTCAACTCCATTATATCTTCCCAACTGAGCAATGGTGTGAGGAAAAGATCATTCAGGCCTTCAGTGATGGTACCAACATTCATACTCTGGCTTCCATCTTCAAAGTTCGTTCAAGAACCATCAAGAGAACTGTGAATAAGTTTTTTTTTAGATCAGGAGGTCACAGCAGTAGCAGGGATCATCATTTCAACTTACAGATAAAGAGATCAATTAGAAAAGATCCAACTCAATTCATAAGATGTTTTTGCACGTGAGCGAGGAATTTCAACTAAGACAGTGCTAAGAGCAGTGAGAAAAAACTTGAAAATGAAATCGTACGGGAAATGTGTGCGGCACCTTGTTACTACTCCAGGACAGAAAGTTAGAAGGTTATAGAGGGCAAAAATCATCTTGAATAAGTTGGAAAATGGTCCTGAAATATATATATATATATATATATATATATATATATATATATATATATATGTATGAACTTTATTTCAATCCTTCTTGAGCTTCCGATCCATAGCTACGATTAATTAATGGTGAACATGCCCTTTTCGTTTATGATCGATTTCATCACAATTCTTCTGTTAAGCTTGGTGAGTAATTATTCATTTTTATTGATCAAAGTAGAGTTCAAAAGTATTATAAAAATATCGGAGAATTCCAGTATGGGATCTTTAATCATTTCTAAGATAGAACGGTTCAAAGCTTAATCTAACAATTGGATAATTTTGCTGTTACACGATTTGGACAATTTTGCTGTTACACCCGATATAGGCGTATACACACACACACACACACACACACACACACATATACATATATATATATATATATATATATATAGTTTAGAAACACATCTGTAAAGTTACTGCGCGCTACATCATTATTGATGTTACTCGGGGATCCTTACCAACATCATAATCCTTCACTCAGCTTACCCAGCTACTGGTGATGAAAAAATAGCCAAATGTAGTTGCGTAACGAACCGTGCAAAAATAGAAACCGCGGATTGCATATGGCTTTTCATAATTCCGAATTAGACATATATATATATATATATATATATATATATATATATATATATATATAATTAACAACATAGATAGAATTGATATATAACCCCATAAATCAAGCCCTGTCCACAATTCACCCCCGCACATGACTGCCATCTTCGCAGAGGTTTTGAGGTCTCACACTTATACATACACTCATACTAGTATATACTGATACACACATACACATCATCATACACACTCCCAAAGAACTAAAAACTACATACACTTAACACACACTTCCCCTTCCCAGCAACTAATAAAACTGTCAAAATGACCAAGGAGAGAATTCTGAGACTCGGGAATCTCTCAGACTCTATCTTAAAAACAACTTGAAAGCGGACATTTAACTAAAACAAGGTCTGATGACCAAAATTAACGAAAAAAAAAATGAAAACTACAGATAAAATTCACTTGCTTCAGAGACAGTCATTCACTTCTGTAGTTCACTGCTACTAACAAGCAGGGATTTTCTTTTACTCCTGGTGATGGCCATTCTGGGCGAAACTAGTCGAGGAACCGAAGTGAAATAATAAAACAAAAAATAATGATATACATCCCAGTCTGTCTGAAAAATTTTAATTTTTAATAATTTGTTTTGTTCAAATCATATATATATATATATATATATATATATATATATATATATATATATGATTTGAACATTGAATGTTAAAAATTAAAATTTTTGTTTTATTCAAATCATATATATATATATATATATGATTTGAACAAAACAAATTATTAAAATATATATATATATATATATATATATATATATATATATATATATATATATATATATATCCCCAAACTGCTAATAATGATAAAAGATATCAAATATTATTAAGTCATTGTGATGTCTATGTTCTTGTTGATGATTTTTCAATGTGTACGTCGGTTTTGAGTTGTTCTTCTACTAGACGGGCTACCAACCACGGTTAGAAATCACAGGCTGGCTTGCTATTTAACTCATAGCTATATGCTATGTATGTATATTCTTCATTGCTGTTGTGTTTTCTTCTTCTTTGCACACCCTTCCTTACCATCTCTGCTTTTTTTCTTCTTTTTCAATCCTTTTTTTTTTCTCCCATACTTTTTGTGTTCTTTACTATATCTCTTTTCTCTTCCGAGTAAAACCCCGCCCCAATAGAGGAGAACATGACTAAGGACTGTGTGTATGCCATGCCGTGCAGCTGTGGTAAGAAATACAAATGAGAAACAGGAGGCCCTCTTAAGGTAAGACTACAAGAACATCGTAAAATATTGGTAACACAAGGGGAAATAGAAAAAAACGGGAGTAGCTGACCACATATGGAGGGAAAGTGAGATCACCGCCCCCTTGTTGGCTAAGGTTGAAATAATAGACAGAGATTATCACTGGAAAATACGAAAACTTAAGGAATCAGCACATATGCTAGGCCACAAAAATCTCCTGAGCCGACCAAGCATAGAAATGAATACAATTTTGGAACCAGTAATAATATATATATATATATATATATATATATATGGTCCTGAAAAATTTATTTCAGTTGAGCTCTCCGGGGAGTAAGTGTGGGTTTGTAAAAAGTGACTATTATGGCTAATAATGCAAGATTCTTCGGTAAATCGAATCGAGTTCTCTCAGTCACTGTGTGTTTATCTAAAAAATAAATACGCTTAAATTCACCTTCATCCATTCCATGCTCCAACGTCTTCGTGGTAAAATCCCTGACTGACGCCAATTCAGTTGGGTTTCAATCCTAGCTAGAGGCAACCGGATATCTAGCTATACAGAATAGCTGTGATATCGCGAAACAGTCTCTCTGTAGATGACTATATATATATATATATATATATATATATATATATATATATATATATATAATATAGTTTATATATATAATACGGAGTTTACGTTTGGCATCGTAGTATTGGAATTTCATTTAAATATTTTGTCTTATAGTTTATGCCAGAAGTTTTAACAGGTCGCATTCATTTTGTAGCCATTTTGTAATCATTTACAATTTTTTCCTAATCAAATGCAGTAAAAAATGTATATTTTGCTTGTGGCGATTTATAATTAAATTTTGTTTTGAAATATATTTTCCATTCAATGTATGTAATATAAAAGATATCATCTTTATTTGGATTTATTATTGAAATAGGAAAATTTTGAAGCCAGTTTGTAGGCAAAAACCTGAGGAAAATAGTTATTTCTGTACATTTTTCAGACGATGTTTAAAAATAAATGCTCAAAAATTACTGGAAGATATGAATCTAATTTTTGGTGGCAGTAATTTTCACATTAAACCACAACTTTCACACCGAGTTCAATATTGATTTTCTGAAGTAAGTGAAAAATGTGCAGTGAATACTTTCCTCATTGGTTACCCTATACAAAAGCCGATATTAAACAAACTAACAAGGGTCAACATATTGTAAAACCAACCAACCTCGCTAAATAGTCATGGGGTAATGGTTAGAGAGGCTAATATATTTAACTATTAGTATTGATATTCATTCTAACTGGATGTCCCACACATAATTAGACATTGAATAAACGAACAACATTTTAGCATGTGCTTTTTTTTGGAACTTATAAACTAAAATATATTCAAAGCAGAATTTTAATTATGAATCCCCATAAGCAAAATATCCATTTTTTTGTACTGTATTCGAAAAGTAAAAACTGTAAAAAAAATTCTCAAAAATAACAAAAAACTATTCAATGAATAAGATTTGTTAGATCATTTGTTAGATCATAATTGATAAAAACAACAACAAAAAAGATAAAAGTGTATATAACACCATAATATTGCTGAGAACATATTATAAAACAAAATGTTTTAAATTTGCATTGTTTATTGAAAATCACACTTAAACTACAACACTGTAGAATATATTACAATATAGGTAAATTGTCCAGTAAAATTTCCATTTGAAGTAAATTAAAGTCTTATTTGATGGCACAATGATTTAGTAATAATGTCCTTGTACCTTGTATCTTGTCTATATACAATTTATAAACCTTCAGTAAATAAAAAAAAATTATGACGCTGTGTTATAAGGCTTTCACTGATCACCGGAAAAAATTGCAATTTTCAACCTAAGATTAATCTTTAAACTTACTTCCTTAAAAAACGGTATTGATTTGGGAAAATATTTTCTGTTATTATTTATCATTTTAAAGCCAAACTTTCAAATTGAGTGTAATACAACGGTTTTAAAATCGACCTGTCCTATTGCACATTAATAATGGACACACAGACTAGCCTCGCCAACCAATGTTGTTTAAATTATTCCATTTTTAGAATTAATATCAATAAAGAAAATATCGTAATTTTAATATTTTTCGCTAAATACTTGCTGATCTTGACAGCGTACAAAAAGTCTTTGTTTTAGAATGAAAACTTAAACGATTCTAATGTCATCTAAGAACAAATGACCAGCATAATCAATTGAATAAAGCAATTTCCAACGCCCTCAAAGAAGAGCTTTT